CACGCTTACTTCTGTGCGGTTCACCCGAATAACAAATAAATCAAAATAAAATAATAAAATAAAAAATAAAAACAAAAAAAAAACAAAATAATAAAAGAAAAAATAAAAATAAAATAAAAATAAAATAGAATAAAAATAAAAACGATAAAAATAAAATAAAAATAAAAAGAAAATAAAGCTAAAAATAAAATAATAAATAAAAATGATAGTTAGTAATTTTCGAGATAATAAAGAATAAAAACGACAATAAGAAAATAAAATAAAAATAAAAAGCTCCAAATCTGGTTTTTTTTAGATCTTCCGGGTGGACGATATTTGATACTGGACATCTAGAAAAAAAAAATTAGAGATATTTTTTTTAGTTTTTTAGATTCTTTAAAGAAAGAAAGAAATAATAATAATAAAAAAAAGATAAAAAAATCCAAGTCCGCGGAATCACTACAAAAATTTAAAACAAAAAATGAATAAAACATTTTTTACTAACTAGTAAGCAAGTCATAAAAAAAAATGTATACTCTAATTTTGTTTTCCATATTTTAGTTTCATCCACAAAACCCATCGGTAAAGTTCCAACTTCCTCGCTTCGGTGCAGTGGACGTCTTTTTCCCCATCAGTATTGACGACATCAATATTTTTGTCGTCAACTTCCGGAGCATGAATGGTGCTGAATAATTATGAGAATTATTAATTAATTATTAAAATGTTAATTATCGTTAATCAAAAAAATAATAATAATACTTACGTGACCCCATCATTTTCGGCATCAACAGGCTCCTCCTCTTGTTGACCCAAAGCATATTTTTCATATTCGTCATTATAGTAAGGCTTTTTTTCCATGCCCGCATTGAAAAGCGCAATTCCGAGTCGAAGCTTTACCTTTAATAAAATAATTTATTAAAATAATTTATTAAAATTACGCATAATTTTTTCTAAAATTATTATTATTTTTTAAACTTACGTTGTTGTTGGTCAATGCAGATCGTTGACCTTGATTTACATAAGCCTTACTAATTGCACCCGCTACCTCCTGGACTTTCTTGTCACTATAAAAATAGAAATAATATATTATCGATTGATTATTAAGAAATATAATTAATAAAATTTAATACCAATCGATTATTAATAAATATAATTAATAAAATTTAACATAATTAGATAATAACTCTATATGTAATTAATACTACCTATCATTTAACGGGGAGGAAATATAGGGAGAATATCTTCTTTTTACCCTTCTGTCTATAATAAAAATAATCAAAGATTAATTAGTTTACAATAATAATATTATATATAGTATTATGTAAATAATTTTATAAGATCTACCGGTTTTAATGATTGAGATGGCCGTTTTACCCAATCTTCTTCTTGTTTTTTGCACTTGTTCCGCAGATACGTAGGCGGCTTGGCGAGCTTTCTTGGTGTATTCAGTTGCTTTGGCTTTGGCAATCGCTGCTTGATATTCGTCTTTGGGAGCGGGAGGGTCAAGAGGAGACTTGAGAGGGAAAACATCACTATTAAAGTAAACAAAAATAAACAAATTAAATAAAAATATGTTTATTCTAGATAAAAGTAACATAAAAGAACTTCCTTTTCAATAAAACAAACATAGTTCACGAAGAAAATGTTTGTTTATGAAATATATTATTAAAAATAGGTTTGTTTTCGCGTGTTTATTTTCTTTATAGCCTAATTTTTCTCGCGAGTTTACTAAACTTTCTATTGTTTTTTTCGCATATTTCTAATCTCCTTTAACTGACTTCTATTACGTATACTTCTTTTTTTTAACAAAAATATTTTGTCCCTCGCGAATCTTTCGCCATTCAGAATACTTACATATCAAGTTTTGCCGTTAAATCAAACCAAAATCGTTCTTGAGAAAAATTTTCACAAGTTCTTTCCATCTTGATATTGTTTTCGGTTGGTTTAGAAGTTTTAGAGAGTTTTGAAAGGCGGTTTAGAAGTAGTCCTTGAAGTGTTGGTTATTCTTCGCGTGGTAAGAGTTAAGCCAGAATAGTGAAGAGGAAAACAAAGTAAACGTATTTATATTTATTCATTTCATGTGATTCCTGATGAGCCAATAGTGACCGAGTCCATGATCAACCATGATCAACGTATTGATTGGCTCATCAGATGACGCGTTTCTGACGATCCAATCTAATCGCATAATAATAATAATAATCATAAGATCAACCTTTTGAATGTCCGTATCATAATAATCATATCATATGCTGTAAAAAATATATTATGTCAGTACTGCGACACATATTTTGGCTTTTTTTTATTGTCATATTATATAATATTATCACGGGCCTCAAAAATTCATGATAACAGTGATACAATATAACTTATAATGAAAATTATATATATAATAATAATTTTCGTGTGCGTGTGTTATCGGTAATGATCATAATTATAATCCTAATAATAATCATAAACGCAATCATCAAAAGTTTATTATTACAATTAATTTATATGGAATAAAAAAATTTTCTTATCATTTTCTAGATAGAAAATATAATTTTCGGATATTATATTAGTCTTATGATTTATAACAATAAAAAAATTCTAGATTATTTAACTTTATAATATCGAATAGTCTATTTCTATCTAGAAAATGATAAGTATTTTTTTTTTATTCTATATAAGTTTCAAAAATATAATAATTATTTGTGACTTAATATGATTATTATTTTTGCTATCCCAAATTTGTTAGCGGGTAATTTAAGTAATTTCCTTTTAAATTTCTTTTTTTTTCATCAATTCGGATCTTGCTAAAATTTTTATTGAATGTTAATAAGATTTCAGATAATATACATTGTTCTTTATTTTAGGTTATCACCCATTTTTGGAAATTTGTGTATCATGAATAGGCGTTTTAATTAAATACATATATATTTTATCCATTTTCACATTTTTTTTCTGATTAGTAACACTTACATAACAACTAATTTTTTTGGTTTTTTTTTCAACATAAAAAGTCGTATTTTCAATTCACACTTTAGTCACTCACCTCTCTCTTCAACTTATATTAAAAGCATTATTTGTCTACTTTTCTCTCATATTACAATATATTTCTGTCTATTTTCATCTCTAAATCAATCGAACATGTCTAATCCTATTTTTCAAATATACTTCGATAACCACAAATTAGTATCAATAATCCCCCACACTAAAAAATTATACACCTTCTTCCACCTATAAGTAAATTGGTGAATTTACTTCGAACTCCGTTTCTTCTTTATGGATTATGGCAACTGGCTTTAGTTCTCCAGTCAGTGAACTTACTATTCTTTTTAATACGTAAATATTCATATTATGATGTCTATTTTGTATTTTAATAAGAGATAGAAAAATCACACTATGTTATTTTCTAATTTCATTTGAGAATAGATATTTATTTTATCAACATTATCAGGAACTGTATTCATTTCGATGAAATACTTTCAAAAATTTCTAGCCATTAATAATGGCATCGATTTCGGATTATATTGCAGAAGTTTCAATTTTGATAGACTTATGGTTATTTTTTGATATATCAAGATACGCGTGAAAAAAGTGGATATTTTTTTTGATATGCCTTTAATTATTTATTTATATATACATCTAAAAGATAACTTTTTTGTCACATGAAAATTTGATATATCAAAAAAAAAATAATAACCATAGATCTATCAAACACGAAGTCTTTGCACGTATATTATTTCTTTGATCATCGCAGACAAATATCGTAATGATCGTAATTACGCTCAAACATATTGGGCAAAAATCACCGGACTTCCGTTGAAGATGATCAACGATATGGAATTAACCTTCCTCAAATTCTTAAACTTCGAAGCTTATATAAATGGAAGCGAATATATATAATGGCTCGGTTTTCTCGCCAATTACGTCAAATCATACCAGAGAATTTCCACCGACCCACCAAATAATTAGATTCGATTATGACTGATATTCAGCACCAATTGAGATCTGTTGTAATTAAGAACGAAAATACTAAAGAATATCCGAAATATCCACCGGGACTTAGTCAAAAATTTATTGAAAAACTTGAAAAACTTCAGTATTTAACTGAAGAAAGATCAAAATATCCTCCGGGCTTAGGATATAGTCCGGAAATTAATACTACGTTGTAAATTTGAGGAATGATTTTATGTTAGATAAAAAATTCGAAATTTTATTAATTAGTAATTTGAATTATTTTTTCGATATTATATTTTATTTAGAAATTCCATTTTTTTTTTATTTTTTTTTATAAATATATTAATGAAGGATTATTATTCGAAACTATAATTAATACGAGAAGAAAATTGGAAATTAAAAAATCTTCGAAAGGGATATCTTTAATATCTTTTAATTTGGGAATTGAAAAGGAACCACCGGCCAGGGAAAACCACATATTACTCGACTTATCTGCTCACATGAAAGAACAGTCTTCTATCAAAGATAGAAAGTTTTGGCGAATAATTACAAGTCTGTCTTACAAGTTCCCGGATTGGCAGATGAAGGAAGCTCCTTTTCATCACAATGGTCGAAAATGTATGTGAATTGTTTCGTCCGAAAGTTTTTTTTTATATATAATTATATAATTACCAAATCTGGTCCTGAGGTCGTGATTATATACAGGTCCGACTGTCGATAGTCTATTACTTTTTCAGCAAAATGTATTTCCTTGCTCATTTTTTTCTAAAACAATAGTAAAAATGTCTTCTTCATGTGGACGATAGTCGATCTAGATATCCCTGAGATAGAAGTCGATCTAGATCTCCTCTACTACCATCAGAATCCCCACCACCATCACTACCAAAGAATTAATACCACCAGAACATCCATCATTATCATTCCCACCATTATTCTCACCATTATCTCCACTATCATCATCACCAATATAATCATCGCTCCTACCAGTATCACTCCTACTAGTACCACCATTATCACCGCTACCATTCCCGCCTGACTCGCCAGCAGTATTTTCACCGCCAATACAACTACTGCTGCATGCTTTTATTGTATATAGAATGTTTATAAAAATGTATAAAGAATGCTTATAAAAATGTAAAAATAAATAAGTATAAAAATGTTATAAGAACGTACATAGGAATATTTTCGTTAAATAAAATTATTCTTTAAAAAAAATTAATATCATTTTATTAAGTGGGTTGAAAGAATTTTTGCGATGAATATTTTCTATTTATTTATTTATTAATTTATTTTTGTATTGTTATGTTAATATGGTTATTCGATTAAATTGGATATAAATTCAATTAATTGAAATTATTGAATAATTGAATTAATTAAGGTCGGAATTGGTAATTAGCGAATAATACCATCCTTATACTAATTTAATAATACTTCAAATTCTCAAAATTCCTACCTTGAATCGACTGTGAAATTCGAAACCGTAAGACAATCCGTAGACAATGAAAAACTAAAAAACGAAAAGGTTACACATTACCTTAAGATCTATTTCCAACAAATAATAATTGTCGTCGTTCTCATATCCGTCCGGAATTGGTAAAACAATGAACGAAATGACTTACAGTAACACACAAGCACAACGAAAAAATATATTCTCTTATACGAGCAAAAAAATTATGCAAGGGAATAAATTGGTGGTGTATATATTTTTAAAAATTAGGTCATTTTGATTTGTTGTATTTTCTTATATTAATGATATTTTATTATATGCTCGCGATGTAGGGTCAAGTAAGTATTCAACTACTATTTTTTTTCATGGGAAAAAAACCATGACTTCAAGATTATTTTTAATTTATTATATTATCTTATACTCGCGATGTAGGATCAAGTAAGTATTCAACTACTATTATTTTTTTTAATATACAGAATATATTTAATTTTAAATATAAATATGCCCCTTCTTACCTTTAAATTTTTTTTTTCTTTTTTTTCTCAATTAAAAAATTTTTAAAAAACAAAGATGGGTAATTTTAGAAGCAAATTTAATGTTAAAAGTAAATTCCGAAAAGTTAAATCTTGTATTTCTGGGTGTCTCGCACCTAATAATTATGATCCTCCATTCAATCAACATTCACGAACCAACTGTACAAAATTAATTATTACTCATAAACCAACCAAACAACAATCATTTTCATCCCTAAAAATACCTATGATCACTCCTAATTAAATGATTAATGATTTTAATATCATTAAACATTTAAACAAAGGGAATTTTGGATCAATTAAATTTACTTGACACAAAATCACCAACAAGATTTGTGTGATTAAAACAATTAATCGGGAAATGATTTATGAACAAAAGATGATTGGGAATGTTGCTTTAGAATGTAAAATATTAAAAAGTTCCCTATCACCTTTTGTTGTACGAGGATATGATGTATTTTTGGATCCAGAAAAATGTATACATCTCAATGGAATATTTAATCGGAGGTGATCTTAAATCATTGTTACGAAAACTCAAAAAGTTCATTGATAGTGTGACATATGTCTATGCTGCTCAAATAATTTTAGGATTAGAGTAGATTCACAAAAAAAAGGAATAATTCATGCAGACATAAAACCTGCGAATGTATTAATTAACTCAAATGGACATTTAAAATTGATCAATTTTGGATTAGCAAAGTATATGATTTTAGATGAGGATACAGAAAGATATAGGTCCGGAACAACATTATTGTATGTCTCCTGTGGTTATCCTATTCAAAATTGGACCACAGAAATTTTATATTCGATGGGTACATCTCATTTATCGATGATAACAAAATTAAGGTTTTTAAAAGAATTTTAGATCTTAAAATTCGATGGCCATCTGTTGGTTGCGTCCAAATGGGACCTGACGCTAAAATTTGGTTCAAATTTTTTAAATCTTGATCCCAATAGACGAATGTCCATTGGAAATCAAGAGCCATATTTTTTTAATGACATTGATTGGGAGAATGTTCACCAAGAAAGAACCTTCACCTTTTGTTCCTCAAAATAATAATGATTAGATGTTTTAAAACAATCTAGTTTAATTTTCATTGAATTTGGGAATTAGTTTAATTTTTTTTCATTAAATCTGTTTTTATATATCTCTCTCTCTTAACTTATAATAATAAATTTATTATATAACATTTTAATGCTATTGTGTTAATTTATTATCTTTATTTTAATATGATTATTATTTTTTTTATTGTATCACGTTGGAAACAAGACAAATATTCAAAAATATGCAGACTTAGTATATTATAATAATCATAATAATAATAATAATAATAATTAATGCTTACAATTTCAAACTCTCGTTTCGGCATCTCTTCACTTACGACTACCAGCATCAACTTAAATAACTTTCGCAATATCTTGAACCTATTCATCACTCAAACTAATAAATCTTCATTATCCACCCAACAGACTTTAGTTATTATTTTATCAGGAACACGCCTCTCTTCCTTTAACAATGCCTAAAAATAATATATTCATTAATTATTAAAATATAATACACTTATGCACTCATATATACTCATATATACTCATATATACTAATATATACATATACGCTTATATATATATATTTATTTATTTATTTATTTACCAGACAGTGATCAACTGGATTCCATTTAGTTTGGTGTTGAAGAATTTCTTTTGAATACATAATAATTTGCCGTAAATGAAAATCTTCAATCTTGAATTCATATTAATGTGAGAATATATTCTATTCTATTCTATTCTATATTAAATAATATGTTATGTAATATAAATTCAAAAAAAAATTACCTTAATCTTATTTGCTCCAAATAATACACATTGAATGTCAAATGAGACAGAAAACGAAAAATCTTTAACTAATTTAAATAATAATAATTAAAATATTAATAATAATTACTGTAAATTTAATAATTAGATTTAAATAAATAAAAATAGTGAATAGATATAATGTAAGAAAAAACAATTTATTTCCGAGACAGATATTAATTAAGATAATTACCAGAAGTGCTCCACACCAAACTTGCTTAGATTTTATTATTAACATTTGATTGATAATGTGCATAAAGAATTGCTGAACTAGCTCATGCAATTATAAAATTATTAACCATATAAGAACTGATTATATTTTTACGAAACAAATAACTAAATGAATATTTATAAAATATATTAATGAATATTAGTTAAATATTAATAAATTAAATTAAATATAATTAAAAATTGACTCACATTATGATTAATATAATCCTCTTCTCCCGTCCCAAGTTTCTTCAACGTATAACATTGCATCACTGTTGTGATTCTCGTTTGCCTCCTTTCACTTTTTCTTCTTGTCTAAAATTTTTTTTACCTATTATCTTAAAAAAATTTTTTATGTAATATCCCTGTTGCTGTACGATGAAGATTCTCGGGTTGAATATTATTATTGTACTTTTCTATATCAAATTTCTTGACTCATACTTGTTTTAATTCTCACTATATTATGTATATCTCACTAGATTTCTTACTATATTAAACTAAATAGCTGATGGCACTTGAATTAAATAAATTATATAAATTAAATTAAATTAAATCAATAATAATAAAGTTGAATTAATAACGATCATGATATTAAAAATATTGAATAGAAATAAATTATAAAATTTTCATTACACTGTGAATTATTTAATACAAGAATTCCAAGATTATAAATGTAAATGTATAATACCTTTTATTAAACCGATTCAAATTTATTTATTTAGAATCTACAAAATATTAGTTAATAATAATAAAGTTGACAGGGACTAAAATTTATAAAAAGATTACCTTAAAAACTGAATAATAATATATCAGATGCGAATGTTCTAGATATGTCGAAATCCTTGACAAATAATAAAATTAAATGTAAATGTAATTTTACTCATGATTCCCACTGAAATACCTGACCATAACAGTCTAAAAAAATATTACACAATCGATCGCCCCATAATAATGTAAATTTTGAAGTTTTTTTGGATCATTCTAATGAAAGATGCAATATTATGATGGTTAGATTCATTTGCAAATATAACAACTACCACAAATTCATTGTTGCAAGGCGTACCTGAAAAATGGATTCTTGACTATCAATTACGCTTCTAACTTCTTGAATACTACTATCTTTGTGAGAATAATTGTATCATCTAAGTTGTATTATTTGAGTTCCCATTTGTAAAATGATTTCTAAGTGATTCAACTGTATTTTTTGATATTGAAGAGATTAGATAATGATTTTTCCAATTCTTTCTGAGATACTTCCAGTATCATTCACTATCGATCATTATTTAATATATTCAACTAGTTCACCATCATGAGTATCATAAAATATTATGATGAAAGAACATTTACTAGGTTGATAGATAATTTGGAATTCGATATAATGTTCGCATTCAAAATCTCTCATAAAGCATTCAAATTCACCTTCTCACTCCTCATATTCACCAAATCTAATATTAATCATATTATCATCAAAATTTAACATTTGACAATTCTAAATTAAAATAAATAATAGAAAATTTAATAAATTAATTAAAAATATTATTCTTACAATTTCTTGAATTTCCATTTTCTCAATATTCACATTCATATTCTTTTACCTTTTCTCACTCCTCATATTCATCGTAATATTTATTCTTGACCCCCATAATATTGCATCATTCAAATTCTTTTATTTCTTTAGATTATTTAATTTGAATATGCAAAATTATTAGTTTATTAATCATACAGATATATCATATTTATTCTTAGAAATTTATCATTTTTAAATAATTTTCTTTTTTTTTAAAAAAAAAATGAAAGGTTAGAAATTGAAATTCGGGACGAAATCAAACTTTAAAATTATATTCATCACGAATATCTTACCTAGGAAGTACCAATTAAAATTAATTATTAATTTCACCAAATATTGAGAGGAAATTAATACTGAATTTTAAATAAAAAATATTATTAAATATATTAAAAATATTAAAAAGATAATTTATATAATTTTTTAATTCCAAATAAATTCGATTCTTTTTTGAAAACCGAGTTAAACGCATACCTTATTCCAAAGCTAAAAATATTAGCAGTAAATGAATTTATTGTTCGTCTATTAATTATCTAATATTTGCTTTATTTATTTAATTCACTTTATTAATCCATATTATATAATCCGTATTATTTAGCTAGTGGGCAACATGGATTGGAAATTAAATCATTGGCAATTCTATAATGATCTATTGATGAATTTTATTTTGCTTCTTATATAATCCATTTATATAACATCTATTTGAAGTCTTGGCACTCTTGGAGTAATTATTTAAAAATTATATTCATTTAATAATTTATAATAAGAGAGTGTTAAAAAATTATTTCTTACTTATTTACCACATTGTAATATTGAAAAACAAAATGCTCTTACTCAGCTTCGTCACATGGTTTCTCCAATATTGGAGTCTTACATTGTTGTATGCGAGAAAGTACTCCTCACCTTCACGTTTATTTGGCCCTCAGCACTAAGTTTGACAAGGGGAGTGCGCACTGCCTTGACTTGGATGACGTTGGAACCAAACGTCGTGTAAAATATGAAGGAGTTAAAGACCCTTCAGCCATTATTGAGTACTGTAGAAAAGGAGGAAGTCACATCAAATTTGAACCTGATATTGTTGTTAGACGAAGCAATAGAAATATTCTTGCCGACACATCCACTGGAGAGCAAGTATTGGAGATCTCCAAAGGGAATACACAGAGTTTTTACTCTGTAGTTATAGTAATATTAAGTCTTTTGTGGTGATTCTTATAAGGCCACTCCTATTGAATTTAATCATTTAACTCTGAGGATTTATTGTACCCAATCTGTTTAATGATTGTGTAAATGTGAATATCGATTTTCACCTTTTGCGGCCTATGTCTCTTGTATTATTCGGTGCAACCCAGACTGAAAAATCCTCTTGAACGGTATCTATTTCCAGCATGGACTTGAATGGATGAGTGGGACGACGAAGTTATAAAAAGGTTTTATTAGGATGTCAAAGGAATTTCCAGTTTAAAAGAAGTACCAGCCGGTAAGGAAGATAACTGATGGACTTGTATTTATGTTAGTAATAATAGTATACCTTTGGGACTTTGGGAAAGGGGTAGAAAATATAGGATGTATATGTGTGATACTCTGGAAATGGAGACTCGTCACAAGGATATATGTAATGGGTATATGTATGATGAATATAATGTTATTACTTATGGTCACCTATACATATTTTATATAATAAAGTATAATTCTTAATCTTTAAAATTGTAGTGTAATATGATTAAGTATAAATATGAGTACTGTCCCAGTATTTTTGAAAGTAAAAATGTATGCAATTGAAAATTCTAACTTGCGAACAATAATTGCTCCACGAGAAGTTGAAGATGCATTATATTTTGTTGTCTCTCGACGTGATGTATCGTTTCTACAAAATGGAACCTACCTCACTAGCGTTATGCTACTTAGTGATTACGAAACAATTGACACGAAACTCGGACCACGACGAGGATATGATGGAATTAGAAGACCTCCCGATACTTAGTGACAAGGAACGAATACGTCAGGAGTTGGAAGGCTGAGAGCCACATTTTATGAATTATATAATTATCATCAATTTGTTGTTAAAATAATAATTCTATATACAGAATTAATTGTACTGAATTATTGAATTGACGAAATGCATTGTTTTATTTTTAAGAAAATTTTTTTTATTAAATTATCTTAATTATTTTTATTACTTTATTGTTTTTATAACCGATAAAAACAAATGTAGTTTCAATAATTACAAAACAATGTAATGAACGACAATTCTTTTGATTGGAGAAAAATGATGATATATCTATTAGCATTTTATCACGTTTTGAAAATTTTACCTGTATTCTTCCATTTATTTTACCAAGGTGGACGTGTCTTATTCATCAGGTGTATGTTATTAGATTTTAAATTTTTACTCAAAAATTGTTGGACTTTATTTCTCATTCACTTTTGAGATAATTTCATCCTAAAATTGTAATTACCAAAAAAATATTAACGAAAATGATTTTCTTCAGAAAAATCAGGAAAAACAATATATATTTTTTTATTAATAATTATTTAATTATTATTAAAATGAATTATTATTATAATATGCCAAATTTTGATCTTAAATGTTTTCTTATGCGCGCTATCCTCGATTATGAATAATTTTCAAAAAAATATTCTTTTTCTTTTTTGTTAAAAGAGACATTTTATTTTGACAATATAAATATTGTTTGCACCAACAACAAGATAATACATAATATTATTTTGGAGTTTTTAGAAAAAGGAAATAATTTTCAAATTTATATTATTTTTCCTTAGAAAGTTGATTTACTTGTTTTCACAAAGATAAAAAGCTTGATGATTTGATAACTGTTTCCAAAGTTTGATCTCAATTTCAGGTTCTAAACATTTAATAAATATTTAGTGATTGATGATGAAATATCACAAGAAACATATTGAGAATGTAGTAAATTGATGAAAAAGGAAATCAAAAAAAGAGAGAAATAACTAAAGAAAAGAAGATTATGATAATGATGCTGAAATGATGATGATAAACAAAAAAGACGATGATATAGATGATAATTGAAGATGATTGGTGAAACTGATCCTGACAAAATGATAATAATGCTGAAACCAATACCAGTTATAACTTAAATATAATAATGCTGAAACCAATACCCAAAAAACTTCAGTTATAACTTAAATAGTGCCAAGTCGCTGCATCAAACTAAAAATTATGAGATTTATGATCAATTTGTAATTACTATTTGTTCCTTTGACGATTACCATTTCGTTTTAAGTTGAGATAAATAAATTTCATAAAATACTATCATTTATATAATATATTACTTAATTTATTACATATGCATTTTTGCCTGTATTCATTCATTCATCATGCTATTAGATTTTTGAATTTCTATTTCTTAAATTTTTTTTTTGATATCTGGTAATTAGTATTATTTGTTTTGATATTCTTCCAATGATTATTTTTTGTGAACAAGAGAATTTTTTATTAAATAATTATTTCCAGGATTATAGTATCACAAATGCTCAATGGCAATTCTTTTTTTCACTCGAAAATCATTTGACTTTATTGCTCATTCACTTTTGAGACGTTTCATGTAACATCCAAAAATTGAGATAATCATAATCAAAAAATCAAGAATCTTTGAGAAACTGATTTCATTTTTCTTCTTATGGAATATGCTAAATAAATGCAATAAAGTTTGTCATGCCAATATTGATAAAATAATGTTAATAAGTATATACACCACTTATTTTTGCTAGCTGATTTTTTCAAATATTTTCTAGAAAATAGATTCGATTATTGAAGTTATATGTACCCACGAATAAATTAATTATTTATTTTGATTAAATGATAAAATATAATACCTCGATCATCTAAACATTTTCCATTTAGCGAAATAAATAATAAATAATAATAAAAAAATAATAATGTATCATCTGATGAAGTCATACCAAGAATGTAATCGAGATGAAAAATAAGAAAATATTATTGAGCAGATGGTTAGTGGAGCGAAACTGATTCTGATAAATTAAATGAGTAAATAATGTTGCATTGAATTATGGTATAGTGCCAAGTTGTTACATCAAGACAAAAGGTTATGAGATGCATAGGATCAATTTGTTCCTTTGAAAATCCCTATTTTGTAGCCAAATATATAAAAAATTGATTATCAGTAACATTTATATTGGCTTAATATACAAAATATCATCATATATTTTTTTTAGTACCAACAGCAAGAAATTCTCGTTTGTATCGTTAGAAGCGAACGTCTAAATGAGATTTAAGTTGATTTGGTTTTTGCTTTGCGAAATCCTCAAGATCTACATTTGTGCACTCGTCTTCTTTGAAACTAACAGTAAATATAATTCTAATAAACTCAATACCTCATTATTAATTTTTATCCGATAATGGTGATTTCAAATATTGTAGAATTTTGAATATCGATCTATAAAAAATTATAATAATCGAAAAATAATAGATAAATTAAATATTGAGCGATTTATAAATAAAAATTTTTAATACTGAAAATAAAATAAATAATTACCCATCGTGATTATTACTACATAAATAAAGTAATTGATCAATATATCGATCAATAGTAATTATTATTACTGAGTAAATATTTGAGTAATGAACATTCTGCACGATCTTTGACAATCACCATATCATAAAGCCGCCTTTGTATATTACCAAGTTATGAAATGTCTTTGATGGTCATCATTTCGTAAAATCCTTATGAGAAACACTTTGTGGTATTAATTTGTTTCACCTTTTCATTTTGTAAAGCCTTTATAAAATTGTTAACTTTTATTTGATTGAATTTCAATTTTCAAATTTTTTTTTGGAGGGGAGAATTGTCTTTAGGTAAATGAGCGAACTACGGAAGAGAACGGATGTTTTAATTTTTAATCCAAAAATATAACAAATGATTAATCAAAAAAAATTGATTTCGAAAGTAATCATACCTTGGTTTTGTTTCTTGTTCTGCTAAGATCTTATTATCAAAGGGTCCAGCATCTAAAATAAAAATTTATGTTATAAATATAATTCTTTTTTATAAAAAATAATAATAAATACAGATTGAATTTTGAAAAAATAAATATAATTTAAAATTACAATTGGCAAATTTATTTTTAAATTTGTTAAAATTCATAAATTAAAAAATAAAAACAATACATTTCGCATTATTAATTTGATAATACATAATGATTTTAGAATTAATATTTTACCTCTTGATAATCATAACAGGTTCATATCTTTAATTTTAAAATATAAGCAGTCTAATTCGCAGGTTCCAATATTTCTATTGCATATCCATCGTTGAATTGTAATATCTTTTTTTTGAGCGAAACATTTATCCCAAGTAATTCTTCTGATCTATTTAATTCGAAAATAATAAAATCCTTTAATTTTCCTATAAAAAATAGATTAATCTTTATTAAAAAAATTTATTATTATAATAATTCTATAAATAATAATAAATCACTTAACTCGAGTTTCGTTCCTATCATTCTTTTTTCATATTTTTTGTTTGAAATTAAAAATCAATAATAAAAGTTTCCTTCATGATTCATCATAAAGATCTGTTAAACCATCATCATCCTCACTTTCATTATCAGCTTCCCTTTCATCGCCATCCTATGCAATTAAATATTGTGATTAATTGTTACTATTATTAAATATTATTCAAATTAGAATGATTTATACTTAAATTATCTATATTCATTTTTTGTAGTTGTTGAACGTAGATTGATGTATTTGCAAGCATCATCATTGCATTCACACCATAGAGGAAGTATATTGTTATATTTTTGCTATCATCATTATAAGCGTCCTTATCATTCATATCTTCATCACCATTTTCCTCTTAACCATTACTTCCATAATCGTCATCTTCTTTTTCTTGCTCTTCATTATTATTATTATCATCTATTTCATTCACTTATTATTATCCTCATTATTATTATAATTATTATTATTATCACCATCTTCGATTCTTGATCATTTTCTTGGGCGATCAACCTTGCATTTAACTTCTTATCAGCATTAAAAAAAATCAAAACATTTTGAATAAAGATATCATAAATAATCATTAACTTACTTTGGTCCTGTGGCATGCTAGAAACATTTTTTAGACCATCCTCGCCTTCTCTTGGGTGGATGACCCCTTTTCTTTGGTGTTGGTGGCGGTGGTGATAATGAAGGTTTAGGAGATGCTTCTATTTTTTTTTTTAAAAAAAAAAAAAATACTAAAGATAATATTGAGTAATAAAAATTAAAGGGATTAATAATTCACTCTTCTTGCAATTCGTGGTGACCTTCTTAAGGCTAAAGTAGGATTATTGTTTTGAATTTCAAAATTTCTCTTGGCCATTTTGTTGAATTCAATATCGATAAATTATTTTTGAAGAATTGCTTTGGTACTTGACAAGAACAAATGGTAAAAAATAATAATTCTAAATTTTAATTCTTTTCAAATTTATTTATTTATTTATTTATGTTTATTTTTTAATTTATTTAATTTTTCACAAAAAAGAACACTTGCATATATTACAAAAAAGAATGGAAAGATAAAATGTAATTTTTTATTATTTTTCATATAATAAAAATATACTATTATAACTATATTGTTCTATTTGTTTATTGTCAATGTATGATATTGTTTTGTATAAAAATTATTATTGAAATGTTTATTAAATGTAAAGATTCTCAAATTTAATATAATGAATAATAACAAATATAAATTTCGGATTAAACAAAAAATTCAATAAATTAATAATTAAGCAATGACATGAAAAAAAATTAATGAATTAATTTAATATCATTCTTACTTTTTAAAATATATGATTTTAATATTAAAGTTAATTATCTTAAGAATAGAATTTTTAGCAATTTGGCATTACGCTTTTATAAAAACGAAATGGTGATCGTCAAAGGAACTTGGCATTACAATGATCAAATAAAAATATTTCATTATTAGACATCATCGTATAATGATGAGTAAGTAGTTCTTTCATGATAGTTATATTAGTTTCTCTTTGATCAATTAATTATTACAATCATCTACAAAATCATCCGAATTTACGGCAACAATATTTATTTCCATTAATGGATTTGGTGTTCTCGAAATTTCTACTCGAAAATCGGTTGATTTTATTTCTTATTCACTCGAGATAATTTCATCCTAAAATTGTAATGATCAAAAATCAAGAATATTAGTGATTATTTGATAACATTGATAATGTGAGCATTTATTTTCCCGATTTTTCTGAAAAAAAAATCGATTTTTTTTTTATAAATAATTAAAATAATCATTTTAATGAATTATATTATAACAGGAAAAATTTGATTTTAAATATTTCCTTGATCATGAATAATTTTCGAAAAATATTCTTTTTTCTTTAGAAGAGGCTTTTCCTTTTTGACAATATAAATATCGTTTGTACAACAAGAGAATTAAACGGATTATTTAATAGTTTTTAGAAAAAGGAAATAATTTTCGAATTTATTATTTTTTTTTATTCATGCAATTAGTTAATCAAATAATCTTGAAGTTTTACCAGTTTGCCACGTTTTGAAACTTTACCCGTATTCATTTATTCATTTTATTAAAGTGATCATGTTATTGGATTTTTGAATTTCTATTTCTTTATTTTTTTATTGATATCTGGTTAATTAATATTATTTGTTTTGAAATTCTCTTGACAATTATTTTTTGTGAATAAGAGATTTTTTATTTAACGATTATTTCCAAAATTTTCGTATCACAAATGCTAGGTGGTGATTTCTTTTTTCACTCGAAAATCATTTGACTTTTTTTCTTATTTACTCTTGAGACGTTTCATGTAACATCCTAAAAATTGAGATAATAAAAAAAAAAATTAAGAATCTTAGCGAAAATGATTATTTTTCTTCTTAGGGAATATACAGAACTATGCCAAACCAAAGCAATAAAGTTTGTCATACCAATATCGATAAAATAAATAATATTTAATAATAATAAATAAATATGTGCACCGCATATTTTTGCTGGCTAATTTTTTTCTAAAAAAAAGATTTGAGAAAATTTGGTTGTTGTAGTTATATGTACCCACGAATAAATAAATTATTTATTTTGATTAAATGATAAAATATCATACCTCGATCATGAATAATTTCCTAAACATATTTCATTTAGCGAAATAAATAATAATAAATAATAATGTATACGAAAAATCATCTGATGAAGTCACACCAAGAATGTAATCGAGGTGAAGAATAAGAAAATATTATTGAGCAAATTATTGGTGGAGCGAAACTGATACTCATAAATTAATTGAGGAAGTAATGTTGCATTGAGTCATGGTATAGGGCCAAGTTGTTACATCAAGACAAAAGGTTATGAGATGCATAGGATCAATTTGTTCCTTTGAAAATCCCTATTTTGTAGCCGAAGATAAACCGTAACATTTATATATTAGCTTAATATACAAATATCATTATATTTTTTTTAGTACCAATAGTAAGAAATTCTCATTTGTGTTGTTGGAAACGGAGAGATTGGACGCTAAATGAACAATACCTTGGTTTGATTCTTGCAGAAATCCTCAAGATCTACATTCGTGTACTCATCAATTCGTCTTCTTTGAAACCAACAATAAATATAATTCTTTTTTTTCAAAATTCGTTAAAATTTCAATAAATTTCAAAATTAATTAAACTCAATACCTCATTATTAATTTTTGTCTAATAATGGAGATTTCGAATTTTGAACCTCGATCTATAAAAAAAATTATAATTAATTTAATAATCGAAAAATAATAATAAATGAAAAGATAAATTAAATATTGAGCGATTTATAAATAATAAAAAAATTATAAAGGTGAAATAAAATAAATAATTTAATATATTCCTCAAAACCATTACTTTTGTTATCATCATCTTCTTTTTCTTACTCTTCGTTATTATTAGAATTATTATTATCACAATTTCATTCACTTTATTACCATTATCCTCATTACTATTATAATTATTATTATTGTCACCATCTTTCATTATTGATCGCTTTCTTGGGCGACCAACCTTGCATTTAACTTCTTATCAGCATTAAAAACATTTTTGAATAAAAATATCAATTGATGAATTTTTTTCCTTAATTTAATAAAAGTAATAATTATTAACTTACTTTGTTCCTTTGTCATGCCAAAACCATTGTTTCTGTGCTGTTTTCGCCCTCTCTTGAGTGGGCGACCCTTTACTTTGGTGTTGGTGGTGATGATTATGAAGAATTAGGAGAATAATTAGGTGATGCTTCTATTTTTTTTTAAAAAAAAATATTATTAAAGATAGTAATGAGTAATAAAATTAAACGCATTAATGATCCCCTCTTCCCACAATTTGTGGGGTGACCTTCTTAAGACTATTATTGTTTTGCATTTCAAAATTTCTCTTTGCCATTTAGTTAAATTCAATAATTTTTTATAAAAGAGACTCGATTACGCTCAATATGATTTGTATCACCATATTATACTTAACTACCAAATTTTCTTACATCCTCAAAACATTTTTTACAAAAAATAAAATTTTATACTTCAACGAAAATATTAAAAATGGAAAATACTTACTTCTTATTAATCAAGGTACGATAGTAATAATAATTATTATTATATCTGCATAGACTAAACATTATATATATTTTCTAGCAGAAATGTCGTCCTATTAAAGGTCAACCATTAGAATTATCATTATTTAGAAATTTATTAGATTATTGCTTTTATCTTAATCCAAATGCAGGAAAATTAACTTCACTTCTCAACATAAGTATTGATAAATATGAAGAAGAATTTACTAAAAAAATATTGTGAAAGTCATGATTTAGTGGAACGTAAAATCTTTTTGATTTATTATATTTTACATTATGGTGATATTGTGGAATCCATAAAGTTAAATGAGATATTAAAATGGCAAGGTGGATGTACTGAAGTAAAATAACAAATTCACATCTTCGTGATAAGTATTTTGTTCACACAAAAAGAAATTTTTATGGAGGTAGACGAAATTACGAGTGAAAATAAAGTTGAGATGGTTGAAGGTAAGTTATCTTTTTTTATTATTTATTTTACTTTATTTTATTTTATAAGTTACTTATCAAAATTTCTTTTATAGAAAAAATTGACGTTAATGTTAATTAAGAAGTTACAAATTTTGACAAATAGATCTTTAGAACCCATCAATGAAAAAATGATCGTGACCACTCATATTCACCTTTCACACCACCACCACCACCGCCACTATAATCAACATCAAGAGATGCAATACCAATAACACCCAAGAAATAAAAAAGACAACTAAATAAAGAACTTTCATCCTTACCAAATAATTCACCATTTTCAACGTCACAAATGAATGCACATCCAAAACCCTGAACCACCTCGAAGTAAACGTAAAGGACGACCGACAAATACGCATTCACTAAAAACTTCCCCATTCATTTGCAACACCTGATGGAAGAACCATGGTGACGACTTCAAATATGAAATAACGGAAACAATGTTTTTAATGCTTTGGCATTTTTTGGAAATGTATAATAATCAGAGAATATCAATCAAGATATTTTTTTTTACTCAAAAATAATGTGTAATCGATATATATACACCATATTGGAAATATTAGAAATATTAGAAGGAACGATAATAAATAATAATTACTCTTCAAATTTATCACATGACTCAAAATAAAAAAGCTAATCGATATAAAATACATAAAAAAAGTGTTTAAGATATTATTTTTCACGTTTAAAAACATGTCAACAACTAAAGAAAATGAAGAAATCAGTCAAGTCCCGGAAGTTGGTGATACCGGTAATTATTTAATTATCTAATTTGATTTTTAAAGAAGAGAGGGAGAAGAGATTAACTAATTTATTTTTATTTCAGGAAACGTTCTCAATAGTAACGAAAAAATGACAACGGCAACGATAAAATCTGATTCCCTTTTTTTTTACGTTAATTGATTTTCATTTTAGGAAAAATAACCTATGAACGAAAATATTTCGGTTTGATTAAAGAAACTTCGGTAAAACCGAATGATTAGGAGCTTTAGTCCAATCCAATGAAATTATCAAAGAAGAAAGACAAGTTATTAAAAAATTTATATATTATTACAACATATTAAAACACATATTAAGAAAGTAGATATTAATATTTACCAACTTCCTCATTCAGATGGTGAAGTTTTCATAATGTTCTGGATAACTCGTAATAAGGTTTTTCGAATCGTTGAATATAGTCTGAAACCTTCCATATCATCCATTCTTAACCTTATGGAAATTGCACTTTCATTATATCCTAATACTGTATATTCAGCTGGTGATACTGTAATTCTTGTAATACCCCAATACTCCAGTAGTGTACACGAATCCTTCGATCATCACTGTACCATTAAATGAATCTAATGTTTATGAGATCAAAAATCAACAAAACCTTAATTGTCATTAACAAAATAGGATAGATAATAGATTCGGGGTAAATTAGTTTAAAAAAATCCTATTATTGATTTTACTTGGTATTACTTAGTATTAAGATTTTTAAATAATATAAATTCTTAGAAATCCTCTAAATAAAAACCGTAATAGATTAATATTTTTTAATAAAATAAAAAAAGATAGAATATGAGAATGATTGTAACTTACCAATATCTAAAGCAGAATTTCTTTTTTTCAAAAATTTTCAAGTTCATGTAAAAACGAGCATTACACTAAAAATATGAAATTAATGTTAATAAAATAATCACAAGGAATAATATTATAAATGATGAATTTTTAATGAGCTCAAAGCCTGAAAAATAGTGACTAGATTTTGATTTCTCAAATAGAAAATGATATAAAGATATCCCTTCGAAAATTTTTTGATTTACAATTTCTTGTATTAATTATATGCTTCAAAATAATAATCCTTATTAATATATTTATAAAAATTTTAAAAAAAAAGTGAATTTCTAAATAAAAATATAATATCGAAAAAATAAACCCATCTTAAAATTTCTAACCATAAAATATTGGTAAAAATAAATTCTCGATTTTTAATTTAACATTTATAACCCCAATAATAAACATAAAATCATTCCCCACATTTACAACACAATAACGATTCCAACACTGAATTATTCGTATTATTCAATTCCGGAATATATCTCAAGCCTGGAGGACTTTCTTCAGTCAAACACTGGAGTTTCTAGACATATTTGATAAATTTTTGGCTAAGTCTTGGTGGATATTTGGGATAATCTTTAATATTTTCGTTCTTAATTACAACTGGTCCCAATTGGTGCTGAATATCAGCCATAATCGAATCTAAATATTTTGGTGGGTCGGTGGAAATTTTTGAGAAACCGAGCAAATCGATTCATATATTCGCTTCCATTAATATAAGCTTCGAAGTTTAAGCATTAGAGGAAGATTAATTCCATATCATTAATCGTCTTCAACGGAAGTTCAGTGATTTTTTCCCAGTATTTTTGAGCGTAATTACAATCATTATGATATTTGTCTTCGATAATCAAAGAAATGATATACATTTTTTCTGATCCGAAATTGATGTCATTGGCTAAAATTTTTTGAAAGTATTTCATCGAAATGAATACGGGTTTCGCTTGATAAGGTTGTTAAAGTAATTATCTATTCTCAAATAAAAAAAAAATTAGAAAAATAATCTAGTGAGATTTATCTGTTTCTTATCAAAATACAAAATACACATCATAATATCGTTCATGAATACTTACCGCAGTAAAAAGAATGGTATGTTCATTGACTGGAGAACTAAAGCCAGTTGCCATAATTCATAAAGAAGAAACGGCATTCGAAGTAAATTCATCAAGTTGCCTGTAAGTGGAAGCAGGTGTAATAATTTTTTTTTTTTTTGCGTGGGGGATTGTTGATACTAATTTGCGACTATCGAAGTATATTTGACAAATAGGATTATACATGTTTGATTGATTTAGAGACGAAAATATAGTGTAATAATAGAAGAATATGAGAGAAAAGTTGACAAAATAATGTTTTTAATTAGATAAAATAGCAAAAATAGAAGTTTGAAGAGAGAGGTGAAAGACTGAAAATGGAAAAGCCTAGTTAATAATTTTGTGTTACTTATCGGAAAAATTTTTTCGCTGATTATTAATATTAAAAAAATTTTTTATTATGATTAAAAAAGATGTGAAAATGAAAAATCACGAGATGATAAAACCTGATAATAATATATAAGTATTTATAAATATATTTATTAAAAAAAAAATTAATTAAAATGCCTATTCACAATACACAGGATTTCTAAAAATAGGTAATAACCTAAAATAATGAACAATGTATATTATCTGATTAACATTCAACAAGCAGGATCCGAATTGATTAAAAAAAAAGGAGAAAAAATTAAAAAGGAAATTACCCAAATTACCCATTAACAAATTTGAAATAGTTATTGTGATAGCGAAAATCATCATATTAACATAATCTTAAGCCACAAATAATTATATATTTTTCGAACCTTATATGGAATAGAAAAAAAATACTTATCATTTTCTGGATCGAAAATAGAATATTCGAAATTGTATAGTTAGAATTTTTATTATTGTTATAAATCATAAGACTACTTATTTAAATATATAATTAAATATATAAAATAACTACATGCTGTAAGGAATATATTCAATATTCAATCATAATAGTGAAATAAATTTTGACTATTATTATTTATAACAATAAAAAAATTCTAGATTGTCTAATTATATGTATAATATTGAATATTCTATTTTCTATCTAGAAAATGATAAGTATATTTTTTTATTCCATATAAGTTAATTATAATAATAATCATAAGATAAACTTTTGATTATTATGCTTATGATTATTATTGTGATTATAATTATTATTATTATTACATAATTTCATGATACGAATATGAATATATGATATTTACTAGTCAAAAGTTGATCTTATGATTATGATTATTATTGAATATATCTTTATACTGATCATATAATTTGTATCACTTAAGAGCATAAAAAATAGACTTACGATGACATATATTGTTAAGAGTTTTGTGCAACGTAATAAGTTGAGATTTATTATTAAAATTAAATCATTTATTCAATTAATTTATTTTAATTACTTAATTCAAAAATTTATTATTAAAATCATTTATTTAATTAATTATTACTTAGTATCACATATTATTACTTCATATTATTATTGTTACTATATTTATCACTTATTATCATTTTAAGAAAGACAATAGAAAATATATAATAGACGATATTTATAAGATATAATAAAAGATCTTTAATAAGATATAAGAGAAATAAAAAAAAATATATACAAGAATAAAGAATATATACAAAAAATAATAAAGAAATAAATGAAATATATACAAGAAATAAAATAATTTTATATACACGAAATTAAAAAAAAAAAAATAAAAAGAATATATACAAGAAATTTTAAATTGATAATTGATATAAGATATAATTAAAAAAAAAATAATTGAAAGAAAGATAATTGAAAAAATTTATAATTGATAGTCAAATAAAAAAAAAAAAGAATTTATAAAAAAAGAAATGATTATTGGCGTTTAGCCCTTTTATTTGTAACATCCCCAGAATTTCGTTTTCTCTTCATACCAGAGCTACCCACTTGTTTTGGCACAAAAATCGCAAGAGATCTTATGTATCTGTTTCGGAAAGGTCTTAGGAGCTAATATTAAAAAAAAAGATTTGTTAGTAAATATTTATTTATAATTATAAAATTAAATATTAGACAGAAAAAAATGATAATATTAAACTTACATCTCTTGCGATTTTTATTAATTCATCTTGACCTTCATCAAAATCAAGGTGAATAAAATCAATATCCATTAAGATTGATTTTAATTTTTTCTTTGCTTCGGGATTTTGATTTTGGACATATTCATTGGCCCATTTTGTCCCATCAATATTAATTCGATGCAAGATTCTTTTGATTTTTCTTGGCATTAATTCTAATAAAAATAAAAAAAAAATGAAAAAATAAATTAAGAATTAATAAAATAACGAATAATAATAATAATATAGTGGTAGAAATAATTACGAATTTGATCATAGATTTTTTGTTGTTTTTCTGTTAACATTTTTTATATTTTTATCAAGTAAAATAATAAAGATTTATTTTATTTTTTTTTTTGAAATTTAAAAAAAAATTCTTGACGAAAAAGGGGAGGTCCTTAAATACTTTCAGGATGCTCTAATGCATATTATGAAAAGTATTAGGATCGATCAATCTAAAAAAATAATCAACGATTGTCATTAGTATTTTTGTTTATTTTTTTTTTAAAAAAAAAAAAATAACCATTATATTAATTATGATTATCGGTAACATGATTATGTGGCTAATTTTTAATAATAAAAAAAAGAATTCTTATGATTATAATAATAATTATTATTATTTGTTTTTTACATAATACATGTGATTAGATTGGACTTTTATGGTAAATGTAATTATTGATACATGTTAACAATTTTTTTTTCTTTATTATATGCCTCATTATTAAATATATTTTTTTTATCAAATGTAAATATAATTATTAGTGATTGAATCTTTGATAATAAAAAATTATTTTCGATGTTCTTAATTAATATGCAATTTTGTTATCTTATAAAAAAAACCAAAAGTGCTTCTTGTATACGATTATAGTTCATTTAACATAATTATTCTTCTTATTCTTGTACCAAAAAAAAATAATTATTTATATTATAGAAATGATAATCGTACAAATAATCTATTTTATTTTATTTCATATCAATATACAGTACTTTAATTATGTATTTAATTTAATAGCCTATTCACGATACACAAAATTTCTAAAAATGGTTAATAACCTAAAATAACGAACAATGTATATATTAAAATCTTATTGGTTCGAATGATCAACATAAATTTTCGTTCGATAAAAATTTTATTTTTATCAATATATAAGCGGGATCTAAATTGATAAAAAAAAAAGGAGAAAAATTAAAAAAGGAAATTATAATTATCTTGCGCCTTTGAAAGTAAATACATGTGATTTTCTTTTTCACATTCTTTTTTTAAACATGGTAATAATTAATTAAAAAAAATTTTTTTCTGATTATTCACACGATTTCATTTTCAGTCACGATAATAATCAGTGAAAAATTTTTTTTTGGATTATTTCAATTATCCTGTACCTTTGAGAGTAAATTCATGTGATTTTTTCATTTTCACATTTTTTTAATCACGATAATAATCAATGAAATTTTTTTTTTCGGATTATTCTCCCCGATTTCATTTTTAACAACTCTATTCTCTTTTCAAACTTCTACTTTTGCTATTTTATCCAATTACATACATTATTTTGTCTACTTTTCTCTCATATTCGTCTATAATTACACTATATTTTCATCTTTAAATCGACCAAACATGTCTAGTTCTATTAGTCAGATATACTTCGATAGTCGTAAATCAGTATCTATAATCCCCATGTGAAAAAATTATTACACTTGCTTCCACTTCTAAGGAACTAGGAGAGTTTACTTCGAACGTCATTTCTTCTTTATGGATGATGACAACTGGGTTTAGTTCTTCAGTTAGTGAACTGACCATTCTTATTACTGCGGTAAGTATTCATGGACAATATTAAAAATCACCAGTGGTAATTGTCACCACTGAATTCACGTGGGCAAAGTTAGGGTTGATCAAGGAATTATGTGATTTTGCCTGTTGGTGAGCTTTAGCAATGCCCATATTGAATATTTCTTGTATTTTGATAAGAAACAAAATCTCACTATGTTATTTTTCGGATTTTTTAGTTGAGAATAGGAATTTACTTTAACATCATTATCAAGCAAACTGTATTTATTTCAATGAAATACTTTCGAAAATTCATAGAATGATAATGGCATATCTCATTTCTTTGATCATCACAGACAAATATCATAATGACCACAAACACGTACAAAAAGTCTGGGAAAAAATCACCGGTCTTCCATCGAAGACAATTAATGATATGGAATGGACCTTCATCAAATGTTAAAACTTCGAAGTTTACATGAATATATGGGTTGGATCAGTTTTCTCGCCGATTACGTCAAAGTACAACAAGAAAATTTCACCAATCCACCAAAATACTAAGATTCCATTATGGCCGATATTCAGCACCAATTGCGATCAGTCTTAATAAAGAATGAGAATACTGAAGAATATCCCAAATATCCACCGGAACTTTGCCAAAATTTTATCAAATATAATAAGGTGTTGGAATCAGTGTTGTTTTGTAAATGTGAGGAATTTTTTTTATGTTTATTATCATAATCATTATTAATCAGTAATAAGAATGGATAGGGTTCATAGATATTGAATTAAAAATCGAGAATTTTATTTTTAGTTAGATGTAACCATTTTTCGATAATTATATTTTATTATATATTATTTATAAACTCTTTTTTTTAATTTCTTTATAAATATAATAATAAAGAATTATTATTTTAAAATGTATAATTAATACGAGAAGAAATTGGAAACTAAAAAAAAATTCTCGATCGAAATCTAATCACAATTTTTTTAGACTTTGCGCTCATTAAAAATTCGGGTTCGTTCCTAAGTTAAGTATTATTCCTTGTGATTTCCAATAGTGTTGATAGTATCAATATATTATTTTATTAACCTTCTATTGAACTCTGATTTTAACTTTATATAACAAAGTTCAATTTTTCAAACTTAAAATAAATTTTGAAATTTTACTTTATAGATATTGGTAAGTTGCAATTATTCTCGTATTTTATCTTTTTTTTTTTATTTTATTAAAAATATTAATAATTACAATTTTTATTTAGAAGATTTCTAAATATTTTTAAATATTACATATTATTTAAAAATCTTAATACTAAGTAATGCTAAGTGAAATCAATAATAAGAATTTTTTTAAACTAATCTATTATCTATCCTATTTTGTTTTTTGATCTCATAAACATTAGATTCATTTAATGCGCACAGGCTTACGTATACGTAAAATTACTAATAAACCAGCAGTGACTGAAAAGAAAACGCACACACAATGTTCGAATACGTAAGTAAATTTTATCTTATTTTTTATTTCTTTAAAGGAAGTAATCAGGAATTTGGTTTTTGTGCTATTTTTATTTATATTTATATTTTTCTAATTATTTATTTAATATAGTTAATTTTCATGTTACCAAAGGTATCGTAATCCCAACAGAAAATTGGCCAATAGATTCCACTATTCAAAAACTTAAAGAATATCTTGAAGAGAAAACACGATTTTTTAGAAATGAATTTATAAAGGTTTGTAATTAAAAGTTATAATAAATTATAATTATAATAATATTGTTTATTTTTTTCTTTCTAACTAGAAACACTTAAAAATGATACAACATTACGATCTAAATTTTAAATCTGTTATCAAAATGGAAGTTCTCAGCAAGATATTCAAAAGTAAAAGAAATTGATTCGGAACTAATACATCAACCTTTTGAATCAAAATCGGAATATACCATAAATGTAAGATTTGGGTTAAATCCATTTTTTATTTAAATTTAAATAATAATCTAAACAATAATAATTTAATAATTTAAATAAGATAATTTAAATAATAATTTAAATAATAATTTTTATATACTGTAATTTATAGCCAAATAGAAAACTGAGGATCCATCATCTACATTTTATAATATAAAGTCTGAGACCGTTTTCCTAATTTGGATAAAGCACGAGAAATACTTATAAAATTACGTGATCAAGGGATTCGTGGAAACACCAATAATTCTTGTAATGCCCAACACTCTGAACATACAATATTCAAAATGCTGGGTAATTAATTTAAGAATGAATGATATGAAGTGTCTCAGACTACATTCAAAAATTCGAAGAACCCTATTACATGAGTTATCTCATAACATATGGGGAGAAAAATTTAATCGTCTTAATAGACAACTGATTGAGAAAGTAGGTAATCATTAATATTTACTTTCTTAATATGTGTTTTAATATGTTGAAATAATATAATGGACATAATTTTTTTTTTAATAACTTGTCTTTCTTCTTTACTTTGATAATTTCATTGGATTGGACTGCTTCAGGAGGAAATAAATTATCCAAAGAGGAATTTTATGAAATTAATGACAATCAATCATTTGAAGGTGGAACTTAAACATATCTTTTTGTAGCTGGTTGCATTGATATTGACATGCAACTAGGTACTATTAAGAACATCCCAATAGTTATAAAAAGATACCAAAAACAATAAAATTTATTTATTTAAAAAAGTGAAGCGTACGGTCAGTCGACAATAATAATATGACTCACTAATAACAACGAAGGATGAATATGATAATGATGATAGGTGACTGTCTGTTAATGAGGAGATGATGGAAATTATTATAATAGATAAAGAGAAGATGATGTTTATATTGGATTAAATTTTTGAATTCAACAATGACAAATGGATATATAATAAATGGAATACATTGACGTGATGGTGATTAATTTTAATTACGCTTGCATTGGTGATAAAAGAAAATAGGCATTTAGATAAATGTGGATAAAGTCGTTTGGGAAATTCTTTGCAATTATTTAAATTTTATGAAAATTATGTACAGTAATCGAAGGCACTTTGGGAGTCATTAACATAACTATTGCTTATAATCAAGAAAAATGCCACAGGCATCATCACGTTTTTATGTTTCCATTATTGGAATTACTATCAGAAAATGAAGATATATCTATTTTACAGAATACTTTAACTTGCGGTAAGATGATTTTCAATTATGTAACTTTCTTCTGTTGTACTTGAGTCCATGATGCATTTTGTAAGATCTTATATAACAATCAGAAAATGAAGATATAT